TTTTGTAAATATTTTGTAGAGTCGTACATTCCACAGGCTAGTCACTTTAGACTAGTCAATCTAATCATGCTAGAACTACTGACAACCTAAGAGTGTCGTGGTAACGATCTCTCCAAGAATCGGCGAATAATATCATAGATCCTTCTCTTCTTTTTGAAGATCCTTGAGGTAGGAGATATTATTCTAATAATCTAACCTAATATCCCTCGTTTAAGCACACATAAGCAATGTCGTAATCGCCCTCGCCACTTAGACCCTAGACTCATCCTAGTTCGATGATCCATATGTGCCGTTAACAAATTTCTCCAATTTCCAGGAAGATTTGAGTATACTATCCAAGCTCAAATCCCGATGCACTGAGTTTCATTGTAGGTTAAGTCATTGAGGAAATTTCTCTGTTGATTTAATTAAGGAAGCATGATCTATGTCTCGGTGCATCCTGGTGTCTAGTGTCTTGATCAGTTTGTGAATCATGATCAAGTATCTAGTTTCACTGTGCATTCGAGGATTAGGTGAATAGACTCTTACCTAAGGTATGCTCCTAAAACCTTAGGAGGTTGTACTGCAGAGATTAGGTAGATGGGCTCTCACCTGGAGTGTGCACTGTGGATGGGCTCTCCCCTAGGGTGTACACTTAAGCTCTAAAAAGCCTACACTGAGGATTAGGTGGATGGGCTCTCACCTAGGGTGTACACCTAAAGTCTAAGAGGTCTACGTTGAGGACTAGGTGGATCGACTCTCACCTAAGGTGTGTGCTCCTGTATGCTCCTAAAACTCTAGGAAACCTACTCTTTAGCTTATGCTTAAGGTGATTTAAAGTTTTTTATATCTTCTAATTAATTAAATCATCAATCCCCGTCTTTATAACTTAACCATTTAAAAATAAACAAAGCAAAATAAGAAAACGGTCGACCCACCTCTAAAACTAGCAAAGCCGAAAGCGGGGAAACAACAAATGAATCGACCTAAAAAAAACGTTTAAATGATAATTAAGTAAAACCCAAAACAGTAAATAGAACTATCAAAATCAGCCCCGAAACAGTAAATAGAGTTATCAAACTCAACCCCAAAATCGTAGGCAAAACTCTCAAAATCAGCTCCAAAACAGTGTCAAAATGGTGCCCAAATGGTGTTAAAACAATGTCAAAATTGGCCCACGTGATGCCCCCAACAACACAACACAAATAAGACCAAATAACTCTCACAACACCCCAAAAGCTCTCACAGCACTTACAACAGTTTTATTATCACCGAACAACATTTATATAGGCCCAAACGACGACTACAACACCCAAACAACGACCTATAACAATTTCTAGGCTCCGACAACATTTATAACAGCTAACAGCTCCCCCAAATAGCCATCTATAAGAATGGACAGCACCCAAACCACTACGTACAACATCTAACGACTATCTTCAACAGTTAAATAACTACATACAAGAGTCTAAATCTCAATTTCAACATCCAAACATTAATTTCAGGCTCTCTACATCACTCCAAACATTAACTCTAGCAATTGTAAGTTAACTACAGCACTTATATGACCCCGAACAACAACTACAACACCCAAACAACTTATATATGAATTCGAACATCAACTTCATGGGTCTAAGCAACAACTACAACACCCAAACAGCCATCATAAACTTCCAATCAGGTCTAACAACACTTATAACAATT